ACCGGGGGGGGCGGCTTGTTTTACAACGTCGTTTCCAAGCGACGAAAACCCAACCTCGATGGCAAAATAGCGAGGGGGGGGGATCTTTCTAGCGAGCATGGCTAGACTCACCCTCAAGGGACCGATATCTTCTTGGTGCAGCGTACCCGCCGCGAGGCATGCGTAGTGGTAGAGTTGGGTCGGCACTTATGCGTCAGGTACAAAAGTGCAGATGCGCGGGCCTCATGGCCGTCGGTGTAGACAGCTGTCCATCTCAGTTTTGTGCGCGGAGGCAGACGCCATCAGAAAGGTGGACAGGCACTATGGACACGGCCCTAGTTTTGCTAGGGGGAGCTGTACTGTCTCAGTAACCTGGCTTCGCCATCAAAGGGGAGAAGGGAACAGGTTGTGACGAACTGAGTGGACTGGTTGGCCCTTCGGCGCGAGAATTTTCAGACCAAGAACCCTAAGTGCAACAAGGGAGAAAGCGAGGAACCGGTTGGGAAGGACAGCAACGAGAGCGTGTACAGACGGAGCGGGTCGAGTTTGGTCGTGCTAGGACTGCCAACAGCGGCACCGGAGCAGAGGCACCGCATCAGCAACATCGGAGCAGCGGCACCGGAGCACACGGAGGACATCGAACCGTGGCGCACGGACATTTTGTGGTGTCAAATATTTTCCGTTTTTTTCCTGAACATAGGTGTTGGGTGTGTGTGATGACGTCACTGGTTTTGTAGAGAGATGCGGCAGAAATGTCACGGATACCCCGGGTACCTTTATTGTGTACCTGCATCTTGGAAGACCCCTTCAACGTGGAACGATTCCTAGTCAGTGTCGATGTTTACACTGCTATCACAGATGATCGGGGATAGATTCAGTGATTGTTTGTCTATTGCAATGATGGCTGTGGTTGGTTGTTCTTTTTCACTGTATGTCCACGGACGCATTCTGACAGCCCTTCAGACAGCAGTTGCGCGCCCCGAACTTGTACCATGCCTACCATGGTGTTATTGTACAGGCAGCATTCCAGACAGCAGTGCGCTGTAGTAGACAAACGTTCTTATTGATTCATTGTGGGACAGGGGGGTGATGCTGCTGTAGTCGGATGTAGTGTGTAGACGGGTAGTTCAGTTTTGGGCACGCAACCGTGATACAGGGATTGTAGGTGTACCTCTTCGGGCTTGTGTACCCTTTTCTTGTTGGTTTGCGTGTACTTTAGGTCTTCTGATGGCTCTAGCCTTTTTGTGCGCACGGACCAAGTCTTTGCTGTTAATAGATGTGGGGATTAGCAACCGACACGAGTTTCATGCATGTGAAGACAACAACAACAACAACAACATAAGGGGGGTGAGCCTGATCCGCCCGCTTCCTCCTCCTTCCCTAATTGCCGACCTCTTGGTCTGGTGGGTGTTCGGTAGGGTTATGCGTACCATAGGTGGCATAGGTCTTCGTCGGGCATGCTAGTTGCCTTTGTGCTCCGCTCGATTGATCTGTGTTGGAGCAATCGGAAGAGAAATTGCGAACACCCAATCTGTCCTCAAATCCTGTGTGCACCGTAGACGCGGCTATCTTTGCTGAGTGTCTTTTGTCTGAAGAGCCGAAATGAGTTCAAATGAAACCCTCTTCTGTGAACACCACCCCCTTGTGACGATGTCTCGAAGGACGAATCAAAGACACCCTCCCCTGCGCGCGCCGAATGCATGCCATGTTCCAGTCTGTTGAACGACATCACTCATCTGCGTGCGGACAGGCAGCATACTCTCCAAGTTCTTCATGTGGTCTTGAGCCTCAGTTTCCTGACAAGTGCACGTCGTGACGTAGTACAGATCATCTGAATGTGTCCAGGGGCGCTCCAACCTCTTGGCAGTAACACTCGCTTTGTTGGGCGTTGTCTTGGTTGTGTTCGCGAGCGCCTCGGTCTTCGCCAAGGGTCACCGATTATCCCTTTCTGTGCCGTCCACGTGTCCCAACCTATCCATGCATGCATGCCCAGGGAGCGGAGCTCCTGAAGAGACTGGCTTCCGGCTCTGTCGACGCCGACCTCATGTCCAAGTACACCGCCCTCGCCGCGTCGTACTGCCTCATCCGCTACGTTGAGAATTCGACGGGGTTCACCTTCGCGGACGCCAGGTGTGTGTGATGTATGTTTGGCTGGGCTTGTGGCAAGAGCACGTACGTGTGTACGTATGCATGAAATTTGTAGCTGGATTTGTGGCAGCAGCACGGAGAGCACTGCGAATGCAGGGTGCAGGACTACGTGGAGGATGCCCGACCAAAATTGTCAACGGGACCGGGCGCGCGTCGGCTGAGTGAAGGGGGGGGGGGACCGCGACACCTCGAGGGTGGTGTTGGTCTTGGTGGCGTTGGTGGTTGTGTCATGAGCCACCGACTTGCGTGTTCACGGGTTGAGACAATAAATAAAGGGGTTGGACCAAGCTAGACACCAATAAAGCAGGCAACCGAAATATGCATACAGCAAATTGTCCGTCCGGCGAAGGGCGCACACTACGCGGGAGGGCAGTTGATTGGCGTCAATTCAGCAGCAAAGCAATCTCAGCTCCTTGGCGAACGAGTTCATCACAGGGGTCATATGACGCACTTCATCACACAAGAGTAAGAGTAGCGGTTGCACGCGTCGCCCCAAGCACGGCCATCAGCACCTCATCCGACGGCCATCCACCATGCAGTCATGCGCAAGCACCCGGAAACGCAAAGACCGCTGCATTGGCGTTGCCTCGGTGAGGTGGAAACGTGGGTCATTCTCGTCTAGTTCTCTGCTGTCGTCTCATGAGTAGGCAGCTTCGCTCCCCTTGCGCAGACATTCTCAACCCGCGAGAGCGTTCTCTCACTAATTGTTTCTTGGCCGCCCATCGCCGCGCACACCGGCCCCACGCCGAAAAAGCCTCCGAGTTCGTACTGATTCCGGCGGGGACGGGAGCATGTACATCGATCGCTCGACAGCTCAGGAGCTAGAGCTCATCACGGACGCGCGCTCCGGCGGGCAGAAGAAGAGCCTGTGAGTTTTTTGTCTTCTTTACTGTCTGAGTCGTTCGTTTGTTTTTTTGCTAACAATCAGTTCATAAAGACCACACTCGACAGCAGTGCTATTGCATTGCGAGGCCTGCACGAACTCTGTCCAAAATGCGTACGTCTTGCGTGCTGTACACCTATCTGTATTTACTGGCCACGCTTTTTATTTTCCTCGCCGATCCGAAGGGGGGAGGGAAATAGAAATCTCATCTGCATCTTTGATGTGTATTTAAGTATTCACCATGTATTTATCGCGGTTTCGTTCTGAGGACATTAAAATCAACGGTGACCCTTTAGGGGGGCCCTTCACGGACGCCGTAAAAAACAAGTTAATTCCACCGCTTTTTAGTAATCTGTTGCGAACTATCACAGCTACCCATCTCCCACGCACGGTGCTCAAAACGCAGTCAATATCTCGCGCGTGGTGCACAATATCCGTTGGTCGTTCCGCCGTCGTGGCCATCAGAGAAAAGGGTGTGGTGTGCGTGCGCCTCGCCGTATTTTTTTACCGTTGTCGTGGTCCATGCTAACATACTGTTTTTCTGAAAAAAGTCTTGCCCGCAACCAGTCAACAGCAGTCAATCTGTCAATCTCGGCGTGTAGGCTCTCCATGCTGCTATGTATTATATTCACTGTCGTCAAGACTCCCCTATGCGGTACGACCATGAATCTACTCGCTCCATTAGCAACTCCCTGTTGGTCTCTCTTTCTCTGTGTGTGTTTGTCTCTCTCTCTCTCTCTTCACGCTGAACCGTCCGACTCCTCGGCGATGGCGGCGATGGTGGCGGCGGTGGTTCCACATGTGGGCTGCGCTGCCTCACACTGCTGCTGTTTCCACGTAAATTCACCATGGATAAATGCATTCTTCACCAGTTTTGGCGTGATCAACCACACCAGGACAGCAGTCGGGGCGAGGCTGCTCCGCTCTACCATCCTCGGCCCCTGCACGGTAAGCGAAGACAGAACAATGTACGGTTAGAACGATCCAGGTAGCAACACCTCCTGCTCGCTTGAGGTCCTGCTACTGGGGCGGTCACCCGCCATGCCTGCGAGACCGATGTACGCAACGACTAAAAAACCTCACGTGCTTCGGACGTGTTGGATGCCTACGTACGTCCGCTGCGTGCCACCAACAGCAACCATAGGAGGTTTCCTGTAGGATTTGGCGTTGGGGGTTTTGACGGAGCACCATGAGCGTGCGCCAGTTTCCCTATCATTGCTTACTGACAAGATCGTAAGCGGCTGCGCCACGTGTACAACTGAGAGGCCTTCATTGTGAACCGGCGCGAATCAAGCACGATGGGCGCGAGAATGCGCAGCCACCCGGAAGAACCAAGTTGGTATCTACACGATTTGTGAACCATTTTCAACGAGGAGCGAGGGAATCCACGGTACAGTCGACTCCGCTTTAAGGACGCACATGGTTTTTCCTAAAAAAAACGTCCTTGAAGCGGGGTTGCGTCCTTGAAATTCAGGGGACGATAGCTCACCATCCCCGGGGCCAATGGAGGCATGCTATACCTCAAACTACGCGTCTTTTGCTAATGAAGGGGGTGGTACGAAAAGTTAGCATCGCCGAGACGACTGGCAACCGTTTGTTGACGTCGAACATATTAACAATACTTGAAATGAGATGTACAGCAGTCGGGGGCGTGTTGAAATCAACTACAGTACACCAGTTTGTACTTGGCCAACTAATGTACTGCATAGCCGGCAGCGGAAGAAAGAGGACAGTCCACGTAGACATATATTTATCTCATTCTTGTGAAACAAAAAAAAACGAGCGTATTTCAGCGTCGCACCGAGGAACACCAGTACATATCACCGTCCTGGCGGAGACCAAAAGCTACCCTGATGGGTTTTCCTTCCACATATCGCGAAGAGTTCCCTGAACCTCTCCCCGCGGCTTGGCTTTACGGCTCTGTTGAGTTTCATGAGTACAAGAATGAATGGTCTTCGAAAGAAGGTACTGCGTCTCACGGTACTCGCCACCCCTTCCCTTCGCGTACAAATACAGATAGCGCCCGCACTTAGGAAAAAATCTGTAAGAAAATAGGCTCAACTTTGTACGAAAAATAAGCAAAAAGGGCTAAAAAACATAGCTCAATCTCGGCCACAACGTAAGAAACGCCCCAATACGAAACGTGATGGCGCGATACCCCCATGACATCAGAAATCTGCGGTGCTCCCAACCCCCTCCCAAGCTGAACAGAAGTGCATATTTTTGTAGGGGTCAGAGTCCACCCCCCCCCGCCCCCCAGCGCCCCTGCTGTTCACAGTGAGTGCTGTACTGTGGTACTGCCACACATCGCGGACAACCATATGCCGTCCGCTGCTGTACGGGTTTGATGGCACTCTCCACCACCTCTCTTGAGGGCTTGATTATGTGGATTGTCCTCAGAGATGAAAAGACAGAAAAAAGAACATACGAAGTACTTGTTGTAGTCTAAGGAATAAGAGAATCGGGAGGATGCGACAGTCCAATGGAAGAAGAAATGCCATTTACGAAATGGACGACTTGGGCCGGTACTTCGACCCAAAAGAAGGGATTGGTGAGGCTCGAACCGATTTGGACGTTTCTTGACTGCGGGCGCTATCTGTAGGATCGAACGTCCTCCAAGCGAGAGGTAACCTCGCCCTCGGTGAGGGACGAGGTTATGCACGACCCTTTTTTGGCGGCATCAGATGGACCGCCGGTAGATGGGAGGAATCTATCCATGCCGACACCCAGTTGCAGCTGCAGCAACAGACCGCTCGCTACTTCTGCTGTCTGTGCGTCGCTACTTCTGCACTCACTGTGGTGCGTAGTTCGTGCAAAAAGCGGCCCGCAGGCCCGCAGGACACAAACAAAGGGTACGCGGCAGAAAAGGGGGGTACCGTCATTATCGTACATTCTGCCGGGCCCCCGATGCTCAGCTAAACAAGTTTCCTTTAAGCGGGGAGTTTCCTTAACGCGAGTGTCCTTAAAGCGGGGTCGACTGTAGTGCTTGGGTACGCAAGGGAGGGACGGAGGGAGAGATGCCTCTGCCCAGAACCAGCCTGGATTCCGAAGACTGAACACACAAAAGAGTGTTGTGTGTTCGTGCGAGATTGACCAACCTTCAGAAGGTGGGATGGGCCAATGAACTCATCTCTTTTGTGCATTGGCTGCGCTGTACTGGTAAACATGGAAGCATACGCTTTACTGTATGTTGACAAGTTGGATCCGTTGTTTGTTTATGGACAGGACATCGCCACCATCGAGGAGCGGCTTGATCTCGTGACCTTCTTCCTCACCATGGAAGGCGTCTTCAACAGCACCCTCAAGATTCTCGGAGAGTTCACCGATCTGGATCGAATGCTCAGCGACCTCGTCACGGTGCCCAAGTAAGCGGTGCAATAATCTGTTATTTCGGCGTGCTGCATTTCGACGTAAACTTGACAGTTTTTTCAAGGTCTGTCTCGCTAGTTTTACTGTGCTGGCTCATTGCGTATTGTTCTCCACCCGCCCCCGGCGAGGTAGGTACGCTTTTCGCACGGCTAATTTGTCATTGGCGTTTGTTGGTGAAAGAGGTGACAAGCACAAAATAGAAGGGGAAAGACATGGCTACCTTCGCAAGGTCCTCAAGAGGAGAAGATGGAAGGCTAGAGTACGCCTAGCAGGAGTAACAACCTCGCGTTTTACGAGCAGGTGCTTGTGACTGGCTGTCAGCGTACGCAAGAGCAGAAGTGCGATGGCGCTTATACTAGCTCGGACGAAGCATCGTCATCAGTTGTTCTGATTCGAAGGCGTTGGGTAGAAGCGGGGAGAGGTGGAGTGGGAGTATTTCTTCGAACAAAGTTTTTTCTTCCGCTGGGTGTGCAGCGGATGTAGCCCAAATCGCACGCACCAGAACACCTAGTTTGATACATGGAGAGTGCTGCCGCTGTCCCCTGCAGTCTCGGATGTTACTATACCACAGAGTGACATACCATCGGTCTTCGTGCCTACAATTCACGAGTGACCTCGAACTATTGGTGCTCTTTCTTGTGTGTGTGCCTGGTTTTTCGTGTGATGTTTTTCGTGTCCTGTTTGTGTCCGTGCAAGCAGGCAAGTGACGCCGGTGACAGCGGGCAGGAGCATCGCGACGCTCATCTGCCTGCGGCACACGCTTCGATTGATGG